TTTTAGTAATTTAGAGAAACTACCTCACAAGCCCTTCTAGGACCAGATCAAGTAATTGGTAAGTCTTTCCTCTAGTATAATAGTGATCTTCACACCAGACCTGCCTATCTGAAAATAAACAGTTGTGGTTTTTTGGCCACCAACACACCTCACCTCTGCCCAAAGTGTGTTTATTATTAGAGAACCAGAGATGTTCAAGGGGCATCCCAGGGTCTGATCATAACTCAGAAACATAGGTAAGGCTCCTTCCCCGATTATTGGTTCAACCCTATTTTCCTCTCTTGTGCAAAGAGCAAGTAAGTCTCTTGTCCATTTTGAAGTGGAAAAAGATATATATGGAGAGAAAAGGGAAAATATGGAGCAGCGAAGAATTGGTAAAGATCACCACCTCCTAAATGGAAACCCTTTAAGAGTACACTGTTCGACAGGTAGTAACTTCGGAAGTCTCTGAAGGGGGTTAAGTATTCCCCTCGGTCACCACTGGGTAAAATTTACCTCTGAAGTTTCTGAAAACTTTAACTCTAAAATATTTCATTGAAAGGAAACTTTCAATTAAATTGGGGGGAAATGAAAACAACTGTGTGTGGCGTGTGAGCTGTCCTCTGCCTGGTCCTGGGCTCTGACCTGCCAAGAATTGAGTGGCCGCCCAAGGCGCTGGCTTAGGAAATGCCTGGGGCAGCTGCGGCTGGGCAGGCTTTGCAGAGACGCACGGGGAAGCAGGCCTTGGGGGACTAACTGGGCACGGGCAGGTGGCAGATTTCTGATCTCCAGTTTGCGTTGATCTTACATTTAGACACAGATTCAGAAGAACAGACACTCCCTTTTCCAGTGCCTTCGGAAAGATTGCCGCTCCGTAGAATGAGTCCTTTCTCCTCCACACTTAATCTACAGCCCAGCTTCCCCGGGAGATCCTACTTTGATTTCCGACCCTCACCCCACCAGCTGAGCTTGCATTCCTCCTTACAGTCTCTCAATGCACCGGGTGAGCTGAGCTCCTCTGACCTTTTCCTCTTGATCTCTGTGCCTCAAAGGCATCTCTGAAATACCTGTTTTGTTTTTGCCGTTCATGTGCGTGGACAGGGGCGCCGAGCTAGTCTCTGTGTTTGTGGCCTGCTTCAGTATGAGGGGCATTTGGATGATGGAGCTTTGTGGTGGTCTTGTTTGTGTGGTGTGAGGACCCACCCCATCCAGCTGTGGTCAATGTACAATGGCATTGGAAAGCGATGAGTGAAGTTGTTCTTTTTGCACAAGCTGGTGCCCCTGGGACAGCCTGCTCTGTCATCACATGCAGTGGCACAGCACGGCATGGGAGCTGGCTGAGTGGAGGCCTTAGTCTGGAGGTTTGCAAGCCTGCTGTATCCAGGAAACCAGCTGTGTCTGGGGGGCTGGATCAGTGCATCCAGCCTGGAGTGGTCTGATTAAACATAGACTCAAGAGATCTTGATTGAGAAATAAAAGTCAAAGCACACCAACAGCAGAATGCATCATACAAAGCAGGCAAACCAGAGGGCAGAAAGTAAAAATTGTTTTCTGCAAACGCCTGTACTCGCTGGTCAGACAGTTGGGCTCAAGGCTGGGGAATTTTTTCTAAGCAAAGGGGAGGGACTACCACTAGCTGAATTAGAAACCCTTAACTAGCCTAAGGCCCAAAGATCTGAGTCACTGAAAAGTCTGGCCCCCCCAGAGTTTCCTGCAGCCAAGCAGGTTGTAACAGGGCTCTAGGCCGATTTCAGGGAAGCTAGACGTGCTTCCGTGTGTGAACTGTGTAGCAAATAGGATCTTTAAACATCTACAGTGCAGACCTATTTGATCTCTTTAGGACTATATTGTAATCATGGATACACGTGGCACACATTTCACATTTCCAAAGGTTACTTTGGTTTTTTATTTTATTCCTTTTGCTCATCCCACATCCTGGAATGAAGAAGACCACAGCATGACAGTGCAAAAAGGGTGCAGGGACTTCAAGCTCTCTTTAAAATGACATTTTCCTTTGTGCTTTTACGTTCCTTATTGTTTTTCTGTGCACTACTGGCTTTCAGACATGCTTTGTTATAGAATTCTTTCACTTGTGTCTAATGTACTGAAATACTGTAATGGTCTCTGTAATGTATATTGTCTCAAGAATAAAGTGAAATGTGGGTTTGGGGACATTTGATGGCCGTATTTGACAGCACTGTTCTAGTTGTATTGTTAAATCGTGAATGTATGATGCTGCGTTTAAAGTAGGGTAAAACCATCTCAGAAAACTTGTTTTGAAAAAGACTTGCACAAGGCATGATTCATTTAAACATTTTTAAAGCCCTATTGAGATTCTACAAGTTTGTTTCCAAAGCTGGATATGAGATTCCGTTTTAATTCCATGTGTTCTCAAGAGAAAATTATTTCTTTTTTTGGTATAGAAATTCATCCCGGAGTGACATAAAGTAACCAAAAGTAAGGTCGAAAATCTTTAAATTTTGCTTTTAACTCAATCATTAGTCCTTTCTAAGTTGCTTTCTTAATTCTTCTGAAATTCTTTTAATTCAATATATTATCCTTCAATTAGCATATTTGGGAAATTAGCATATTGGGGTCTTACTGAATTAAAAACAATTAAATTATCCTTTTTAGGGAATACCCTAGTGCTTGTCAAAAACACATTTTATTTTATTTTCTTTTTTTTTTAATTTTTATTTTTGTTTAAAGTATTACAGATGTCCCT